TTGGTCGTATAAGAACCCAAAAATAATATCTCAAGAAGTCATAAGCTATTAAATTATGTCTTGCACATAGAATATTTTTTTATGAGTTAAAGATATATAAATATTTATATTTAAGGTATAATTAATTAAATATTTTGAAAACTATTTTACAGAAAATATTTTAGAATTTCAAGATATATAATCGCTTATAATAATAAAAAAAGTAATTTGTTGCATCACTTAAATATTTGTATAATTAATTATTTTAATAATATAATCAGTCATATTGTAATTTTAGAATTTATGCTAGGAAAGTGAAAATTCTAGATTTAGCAACCTGGCTTTTAAATGTTTGCTTCTTAGGATATTCTTTCTATGTTTTTAGGTAACCAAACATGTCGTAATTAAAGGTTAATGTATTGTAAGTTATTTTCTTAAAATATTTGTTGAATGACTTTTTTAAAAATTTACCTTTAAATTAATATTTTTAAAAATTAATAGTTGAATTGAAAATTCTATTCATGTGGATCATATATGTCAATTATGATATTTATTTAATATTTATAATCTTTTAATCAAAGAAACCATGTTTACTTAAGTATATTTAATGTTGTTAAGTTTGTATACTCAAAAAACTAATTAAGTTTCGTAGATTAATCTAAAAATTAACATACATAATTTATCTAAATAAAATTTTTAATCCAACAATTAATTCTTACAAATATTAATTAAAATATAAAATTGTAAACCAATTCTCTAAAAAATTTAATAACACGATTTGCAAAACGTTTTTTACTTAACATTATTATTATTTTTTAACTTTATTTATATAATCTTTTATTGTTATTTTAAATTTTTTTTAAATGATAATTATTTTGGGGTGCAAAAAGTGATTTACTTTGGTTGAATATCCTTTTTTGTCTCTCTATTATTGAAAAAAGCTCCCTTTTGCTCTTTGAAAAAATCCCCTTTCTGCTTCTTAAAGTTTAAAATTCAATCTCTTTTTGGCCCTCCTGTTAATTTTTTGCTTAACTGTCACGTTAATTAATGAAATTATTTAATTATTTTTTATATAAATAATATTATAAATGACATGAAAATTATGTGGACAAAATTATAAATCCATGCAAGTATTTTATTTAAAAATTTTGGACCACGTGTACAAATTAAAAATTTTACCTCTTAATTATGAATTAAATAAATTTAAATATAATTAACTTTAATTTCTTCATCTTCTTCTTTCTCCTCGTCCTCACCTCACCCTCATCCTCAAGCATCATCATGTCACCATTTATCTTCATCATCCTCTTCATCATCTTCACCATCCTCTTCGGCATCCCTTTCTCCATGCTCTTCATCATTATGGGTTCCGCAAAGAACCCAATTGCTGGGTTCCTCGAAGAAACCAGTTTTTGGTTCCTTGCGGAGTCCAAGTTTTGAATTCAATACAAAAACTCAAATTGTGTTTGATATTGGGGTTTGAAACTGCAGATGATAGATTTATGTTGCTCTGTTTATGTTGTTATGAACTTCATAACTTGCTGCATTCATGATCTAGATTTAGCAAGAAGAAA